GCCGGGCGGGCGCGCAGGCGCGGTGGCCCCGCCGCCCCTTCCCACCCGGACGCTGCCGCGCGAGGGGCGCGGGGCTGGCGGGGCCGCGGGGCCGCGGGGAGGAGCAGCTCGTCCGCCCCCGGCCCCGCCGTTACCTGTGCCTGGAGGTGATTTGAAGGGCAGGGCGGAGAGGCCGGAACCTGCCGAGCGAGCGCGCCGGGCCCGCGGCTCCCTCCGCGGCTCCCTCCGAGGCCCGCTCCGTGGCCCGCTCGGCCCGTGGCGCGGCTCGGGCGCTGCCACGCCCCCGGCAGGGCCGCCCCTGGAGGTCCCCCTGCCCCGGGAGCTTTCGGGGCCCAGGGACTTGGAATCAGGCTTGACCTAGGATGACCTGCCATCCTAGTGACACCGTTAGCGACGGGAAAGTTCGCCCTTCAGCAGTCGGCCAGGACTGTGGTCTAACGGGGCCTAAAGTAATACCAACAACTCCCGTTTATGTACTGCTTTATGGGTGACGAAGTTTAATTTGCATCCATCGTGCGGTGTAGCCCTCGTGAGTCGCTGAGGCCCACTGTCCTCCATTTACAGGAAACAGGCTTAGGGGAAGAGTCCTGGAGATTTCCATAGAGTCGGAATTCGGAATTCAAACCTTAATCTCAGCACTCCTTACCCTGACGACTCTGTTTCGGAGCCGTGGAGGCACGTTATAGATCACATTTCACCCATGGTGTAATAACCGCTCCTTCGTTCATAGCGAGTTTCCCAACTGGTGGTGTCACAGGTGCAAGACTGGCCCCCAAAAGACGGGCTCTTAATGTGAAGGTGCTTTTTCCAAAGCTGGGGAAGGCGGCAGTCGCGCTGCTGTCCTCCCACACTGATGAGTTCCCCCTTTCCTCTGGTATATTCTCTTCTGCCCAGCTTGGCTGAAAGGAGCATTAGTTAGCAGATTTTTTTTTTTTTTTTTCGAATTTTGAGATCTGTGCAGCTCTGGCTGGTCTGAGACTTATGGGCAGCTCTGCCTCGACCCTAATCCTGCCATGCCTAGCTTAGACATCTGACATTGTTTCTTTCTGTTCTCTTTCCCCTAGGAGCAGCTTTCTCCTCGGACCCTACCATTCCCAGCCCTCTGGCCCCACTGCACTCCGCCTGCTTCTTCGTCTTTTCCTCTTCTCTGGTCACTCCCACCCCCACATCCTCCCACCCACCCTCTTCCCCAGGCTCCTGCACCACCTCTGTCTCAGGTCCAGGCCCTCAACTCATCCTGTGGTGTGGGTCTTCCTCTGGGAAGGAGGGAGGAGGGACCAGGACCGGAACTGCACAGTGGTTGTCTGGATGGGCTTAGGAGCCTTTTTGAAGGACCTCCTTGCCCCTATCCCGGGTCTTTGATGCCTTTCCAAGCCCCTGGAGCTTCCCAACCTTCCCCTGCCTCCCCATCAGGAGACCAGAGTATGGAGGAGCATCTGGCTGTCATGTACGAGAAGCTGAGACAAGAGGTGAGCCTCTCACGAATAGTGGGAAAGGATATAGCGACAAGCTAGTCAGCTCAGTTCATGGCAGGCACCTTTCCTGGGGACAAGGGTGTCCCTCTGTTTGAACCGAGAACAGTTAGATTGGAGATGACCTTTCACTTGGGGTAGGAGTGGAAGTCAGAAGACCCTAAACATAAATAACTGAGAAATGGGCCAAAGCACTGAGACAGGCCTGTAAATACAGTCACTCAGGAGGATTCCACGTTCAAGGCCGTATACATACCCCGTCTCAAAAATAAGTTAACTCCATACACCCTAAAATGGGGTTTTTCTTTCCCACTGAGTTGATGCCGTCTTCTCCCACCCAGCTTCCCACCCTCTTCCTTCACTCCCACGACTACACTCTGTACTCCATGGATGTGGAATTCATCAACGAGATCCTGAACATTCGAACCAAGTAAGAGTTGGTGAGGGAGGGAAAGAGGAGCCAGTGCTCAATAAATCCCTGAGCCCTTCCCAGGGAAGGTCCTAGCTGCTTCTTGAGACTGTTCTCCACTTGGCAACAGAAGCCAGTTTGATGTTCAGTTTCGCAGTCCTGACACCTCTGTCCCTTGATTCTCACAGGGGGCGGACATGGTACATTATATCCCTGACCCTTTGTCGCTTCCTGGCATGGAACTATTTTGCACAGTTTCGGTTGGAGGTTCTACAGCTGACGCGCCACCCTGAGAACTGGACCCTGCAAGCCCGCTGGCGTCTAGTAGGTCTGCCCATACACATGCTCTTCCTGCGTTTCTACAGGCGTGATAAAGAGGAGCTGTACCGGTAAGGGGGCTTGGGACTCTAGGACCAGCTTTCTCCTGCCCCACTGGGCCCACTCCACCTCTCCACCGTTTCGTCTTCTCTGACTCTCCCACCCACCCTCTTCCCCAGGTTCCTGCACACCTCCTCAGGCCTAGGCCCTCAAGTCGCTGTGTGTGCTTCTTCCTCTGGGGACTTGGTGATCTGGTCTCCAGCAGTCCTTGGCGTGTCCCGGTGTGGCTGTGGGGATTTGGGTCTGGTTTTAAGGTCTCTGTTTGTGTACATGTGGTGGTGCACATGACAGCATGTAAGTCAAGGCCCAGAAGACATGGGAGTCGGACCTCTCCCGCCACCATGCCGATCCTGGGAACTGAACTCAGGTCCTGGGGCTTGCCCCCAAGTCCCTGAACTCAGCCATTTCAGCAGCCCTGTCTACTGTTAACAAAATTAATGGACTTTTGTGTCTGTTAAGAAATGCCCGACTTTCAGTTTCTTCCTGCTACTTGGACCTGACAAGTGCTCAGTACATAGTAACTGAGCAAGTAACTCCTGCTTCCTGGAGGATCAAGTTAAAGACCAGCCTGGGCTATATGGAACCATCTCAAAACCAAATGAACAGAGCACATGCTCAGTTCAGTTTCCCAACTATAGGTGAAAACAGGGTTAAGCGTCTAGTGCTACATCTCCCGCCCCCATTCTTCCGCTCAGCCTGTAACCTTGCACTTAAGCATCTGAATGAGTGCTTTCTGGGCCGGCAAGGCTTCCAGGCTTCGGTCCAAGCCTGCTGAGCCTGGGACCCACACGAAGGGGTAGGACCGACCCCCTGGCTTCTGCCATGGTACATGCACCCACCCACCAGGTTCCACCCCACCCCGGAAAACAAGTCCCTGTTCAGCAGCTCTGTCTCTTGGTCTAATACCGATTTTCGTGCTGGGAATCAGTCGGAGCTTTAGGAATTCCAGGTTCCCAGGTGGCTGGGCAGTGCTGTGACCATGTTGTCCCAGTGTTCAGGCTGAGAGCCTGTCTCAAATGAAAAGTTGACCAGGTGACCCGTCACGTGGCGGACTCTAGGAGTTTGTCTTAGCGCGTGCTTGAACTTGCCTTAGCACAGCCTACCTCCCTCAAAAAGCCTGTCTTCCCCAGGACCTTTGACGCCTACTCTACCTTCTACTTGAACTCCAGTGGCCTCATCTATCGCCATCACCTAGACAAGGTGAGTGTCAGGACTGGGTGGGGAGGGGAAAAGGGTAGAGGTCTGTGCTCCAGCCTCCACTATCCTGTCTCTGCAGCTGATGCCTTCACACTCGCCATCAACGCCTGTGAAAAAGCTGCTAGTGGGAGCTCTGGTGGCCCTAGGGTTGTCAGAACCAGAGCCCAGCTTCCACCTGTGTTCCAAGGCCTGATCCACTGGAGGCCTTCACTGGAGTGAAGGCAGCACTGACGACTTTGCTACGCACAAAAGGAGGTGAAGGCGGACAAGACTGTCCAGAGCCAGCCGCCCTCACTCTCCCCTCCTCCCCTCTGCCCGTCTCATGCTGTGTAAAGCTGCTGTGTAATTTAATTTGTAAATAATAAAGTTTAAACAATGACTCGAGGTGTGTTTTCACATCCCTTTCTATGGGTCCCGAAGTTCTCACACACGTCATTCCAAAAATAATTTTATTTACTAGATATCAAATAAAGAATGTAAGGAAGAGAAAACTGTGTTTGTTGTTCAGTCCATTTGTCATTGTCTAGCCCAGCTCTTCTCGTGTCTTGCCCACTTTTTTGGGCATTTTCTTAGCATGGGGATCTTCCAACTCCTTGGCCTTATAGTAGTGAGGAGCCACTTCCAAAAGCCAGCTGCTTTCAATCTCCAATACCTGTGAGAGGGAGCAGAAAGCCACAGGGTCCATTTACTTTCAAACTAGAATCTTAATTGCGTGGTCAAAAAGGCTCCTCTCCCCACTGACGGAGGGCAAGGAAAAGGCACCCAGCTATGTTTCCTGTTAACAGGGCAGACTTGCCTTGACGTGTGCTTAAGATGCCAGGTGAGCGGGCCCGGAAGTCGCCTGGCCTCAGGACAGGCCTCATCTGCTTTCTTTGCCTGTGTGACCCCAGTGGGCGGTGCACACTCCCTGGCCCTGAGCCAAGGGCCTCATGCTTGCTACAGAGCACCATCCCCGAGGGTCCGAGATATCCTCAGCCCACCCTCTTGTCCACATTAAAGAGATGTTTATGGGTGTTGGGCCTGCACCTATGTCTGTGTACTACATGTCCGATGCCTGGAACTGGAGTTCTAGGCAGCTGTGAGCCACCACGTGGATGCTGGGAATTGAGCCTGGGTCCTTCAAAACAGCAGCAGGCAGTACCCCTGACCGCTTCACTGTCTCACTGGTTCTGGGGTCTTTGTTTTCGCATCTGTATGTTAGTGTGTGCGCGGGTACAGTGCATGCAGAGGCCAGGAGACGGTGACGGAGGACCTAAGCAGGAGCACAGGCAGTTGGAAGCTGCCTACCTTGTGTCCTCTGCAAACCACTGAGCCATCTCGCAAGCCCCAGTTATATTTGGAGAGAGGGTCTCACTGTGCTGCTCAAGCAGGGTGTGTGGCCTGCCTCACCTTCCTGAGTACCGGGATGACAGGCCTGGGCCATCAAGCTCAGCTTCCGGTACTGAATGAATAACAGTTCTCAGATCAGGGAAGACAGCTGCCAGAACCAATGTTCTGTATTTATTTGTAACGATGCCGAGGACTGTACCACTGAGATAACACCCCAAGCATATACTAAATTTGATTTATCTGATCCTACATTAAACTAAGGGGCCTTCTTGTTTCGATTCCAATCGCAGAAACTGAATGGAACTTGAGATGCCAGCATTTGGTCTCCCAGTCTCCACCCATCTAAGTGAACGATGGCGCCTTACCTGTCTCACGAACTCCTTTGTGGTCAAGACAAGCTCGTGGTAGAGCAGCCAGCGTGGCTGTTGTTCAAACAGAGAGGAGTTGGGGTGGATAAACACTGTCTGCTGCTGCTTCACTGTGCGGTAGCCGCTCCGGGTGAGCCTGGCTGTGTGGTAAAAATAACCCGAAGTGATGGCCTAAGGAACAGGCAAGAGAATCAGATTGGGGACCACGCAGAGGCCTTCTGCTTACCCTTTGAACTCAGGTTTCTGGAGAACTAAGAAGGTGAGGCATCCGTGGAGAACCCTCTGACTAGGCAGACAGGGCTCCACAAAACACCAGCCCAGGCGGGGAGACTGCTGTGTGCCCTCGGCAGGGGACTCAACAAACACTGACCTACAGGTATGGTGACGGAACTGAAGAAAAGCAGCTCATTTCTTTCTTATTTTTTGACACAGGGTTTCTCCAGCCTTGGAGGCCCTGGAACTCGCTCTATAGGCCAGGCTGGCCTCACACTCCGAAGAGATCCCCCTGCCTCCACCCGCCCCACGCTGGTATTGAAGGCGTGTGTCACCGCTGCCAGCTCAGGAAAGCTCTTTCAACAGGAAGGAAAACAGCTTCAGGGAGTCCCTGAAACTGAGCAGATTCACTAGGCCCCCTCCTGCCAGAGTAACAATAAATGCTGAGTCCTCTTCAGATGGGCAAGCTGCGAAGATGGCTGAGGTCTGACCACTGTCTGGAAGAAACAGACCAGTGGAGCTACCTACAAGGAGTTTAGACCAACCAGCCAAGTCTAAATGACACTTTGCAACCTGCTGAGGCACCTGAAGCTGTCCCGGCTTCCCAGCTTTTGTGAGCTGTCACCCACGCTGGGCTGGACTTCAGTGACACTGTCACTGAGCCATCTCTGCTCACTGGTTCACAAGCTAGGCTTTTGGTGCTATCTGGACTTGGTCTGTGTGGGGCGAGAGACGTGTGTGTCTGTCATATAACAAAGTGACTCCTGTAGGTTGTCCACTGATTTACCAAAAGGACTCTGGGCACTGGTGGCGCGCACCTTTAATCCTGGCACTCAGGAGGCAGAGGTAGATCTCTGAGGTCAAAGCCAGCCTGGTCTATACAGTGAGTTCCAGGACAGCCAGGGCTACACAGAGAAACCCTGTTTTGAAAGAAGAGACAACAGGAAAAAACCAACATCCAAAGCACCGACCTTGCGCACACGGATGTAGTCTCCCTGGCAGGAAGTCGAGCTGACCTCCACGCGCTCCAGAAGCCCCTCCAGCTGCTCCCGCACATCCCGGGCTCGGCGCATGGATCTGAACTGCACGAAGTTCTCATAGCACCACTGGGAAGAGTATCCGCTTTCGGCCCACTGTCAAGATGGAGGGCCTTCAGTACACAGCAGGACTTAGTCCCCACGCTGCACGAAGCCCAGCTGCCCAGTGACCTGTGTGTACACGTTGAGCAGAACCAGGTGGTCCCCGCCAGGGAGGAAGAAACTGACACGGGCATTGTCGGCGTGCACGACCTTGTCCTTGGGCCGGTAGAAGATGGAGTTGTTGACAGACAGCATAGCGGCCACTGTGAGGATCTCTTCCGAACAGCCGTACCTTGGGCAGGAAGGGCACGAGGTCAAAGCAAGACAGTGGGGAACAATCCCAGGCAGGCACAGGGATGCCTGACCTCAACCAGCACAGGAACAGCTTCTTCCCTCCTTCCTTCCCCTCAACATTTATTCACGTGTATAAACGTTCTGCCTGCGTGCATGCCTCAGGCCCCTGAGGTCAGAGAGCTGGAGTTACAGGTGGCCGAGAGCCACCATGTGAGTGCCGGGAGGTGGATCAGGTCCACAGCGAGAGCAGGTGTATTTCTAAGCCCTGGGCCATCTCCCAGCCCAGACATCTAGAGAGGTGCTCCCCACAGCCCTGTCTGATTGACCTATTCTAAGCCCTGGGAAGAGGGAGGGTCCAAAAGCAGCCCACTCCAGCACCCATCAGGTCCTCCACTTCCACCCACCGTCGGGGATTTTATTTCACCAGTTAGTCAGTGCTACAACTGCTGGTTCCGGGCCTGTACCTATACTAACCAGCCGTGCCCAGAGACCGTCAAAATCAAGGACAAGATCCTCATGGGCCTCAAAACGGGTGGAAAGACTTCTTAAATAGTATTTACTTAAAAGACAACCAAACAAGGCAACACCACAAAAACATGATCAAGAGAAAGCGAGGGGACTTTTGGGGTTAAGGAAGTGAGTCCGGCCTGTGACAGGAGCCGGGTGGGTAAGGACTTACTTCTCAGAGGCCAAGATCATTTTAGACAGCATGGGGTCCACAGGCAGCTCTGCCATCTTCCGACCAGACTGAAGAGAGAGAAGGCGAAGGCGAGGCCGGTCCTCCCTCAGAGTCCTCCCCCCGCCACCCACGGGGTCCCTGGGGCCAGCCTCCTCCCACCATGCCCCTCACCGTGGTGAGTTCTCCAAGGTGGTTGAGGGCCCCAAGTGCATATAGCTGTTCCAAAGCCAGCAGCAGCGTCTCGTACGGTGGAGGGTCCAGGAAGTCAAAGTGCATCAGGTCATGGATCCCTGGGGAGGGAGGGAGGGAGGGAGGGAGGGAGTGCTGTGCAGGCCCCAGCAATGCCCGGGGCCAGCCAAGAGCCTGGTGGCCGACTCACCTAGGCTCTTCAGCAGCAGCACGACGTTGCCCAGGCTGGTCCTCTGGATCTCGGGGACCGTGGTCTCCTCCAGCTCATGCTGATAGGCCCAGGCGGTATACAGGCGGAAGCACTTCCCCGCAGCCACCCGCCCTGCGCGGCCAGCCCGCTGATTGGCTGAGGCCTGTGAAGAAAGGGCGGTGCTGTCCACGACCCCTCCTGTGAGTCAGCTTCCTCTGGGGACGGGGGTCTCCCTCTCCACAGGCTGACCTTGCTGCAGGGTATAACTGTGAGCGACTCCATGCCTGTGCGAGGGTTGTAGCTCTTCTGCTTGCAGAACCCTGGGTCCAGCACGTAAATGATGCCCTCGATGGTGAGCGACGTCTCCGCAATGTTTGTCGCCACAACCACCTACGCGAGAGGACAGTCACCCTGGCGTGGCTGGGCACCCTCAGGAGGCGCGCTGCACAGAGGGTTAGGGCAAAGGGGGCCGGGAGGGGGCCTGGCGGTCAGCGGGGCACAGTGAAGAATGAAGCTGGACTCAGGGTTCTTCAGTCGGAAGGTGGGTGCCCACGTTCCTCCCTCACCCTCCCTCGGCATCCGTCTGTCTTCACACACCACTTGTGGTAGCAGCCTACTCACCCAGCTCCTGCTTCTGTCTCAGCCTTCAGAATGGTCCTTTTGAAATATCTAACCTTCAGTTCCCCAGATCCAACTACACAACTCAACCTAAGTCCCTCAGAGCCTGGACTGTTCCACCTATGGCTGCTTCTCTGATCTCGCCTTTCACCCTCCTTCACAGTGTGCTGGGTCCTGCCCTCCAAGCGCTCTCATCTCAATGACTCCTCTGGGCACACCTTTCCGAGACACGCTCTGCACCAGCCCCCCTCAGCAGAGCAGCCCCGCCAGACAGCAGTCTGGGCCTCCTTCTGCTTCCCTCTGCTCTGCCCTGGCCTTTACAGAGCGCCCTCCCTTGCACCAGAAAAACTCTGCTCTTCCTCACCTCGGCCCAAGCCCACCTGCGCACGCTGGCCTGAACCTCTCGGCGAGCTCAGCGCTGCTGGCACAGCTTCGCTCACCCGCTGTCGTCCCCTCTGACTGAGGCTCTGCCTTGCCTGTCAGCGTACCTCACCTGCACACAGCGGGGCAGCGCTGGCCACCTCCCATGCAGTGCGCAGTGCGCACTGGGTCTCAATGCTGGGGCTTTGCGCATGCTGGCCCAGCTCTTTGCGACCTGGTCCACATCTCCAGAGCCTCAATAAACATGTATTCAATGAGTTATGCGGAGGAATTTTCATTCAGAACATGGCTGCTCTGACAAGAGATCATATCCAAGACCCTCTAGGTCTGTGTGAGCCGGCTGGAACAGACACAACCTTAATCCCAGGAGACAGTGCCATGCAGATCTCTGAGCGCTAGTCACTGCTGTTCAGGCAGTTTGGTTGGGTGAGTAATTGAGAAGCCGTGCAGTGGAGTAGAGTTTGTGGCAGTTCAGTTTGTGGAATTTAGAGAGAGTTTTACAGAGACAGGTTGGAGAGAAGCTAGACACAGGTAAAGACAGAACGAGCCAGAGAATGAGAAGGAGCCAGAAGATTAGAACAGGTTGCTAGTGTTAGTTTGAGGCCAACCAGAGCAACTCAGTGAGAAACCAAGAGCAGCCAGATTAAACCAGTCGGCTGGGAGGAGTCTGAGCCAGAACACCGGAGCTGAACCAGCCAGCTATGAGCTCAGAAAGAACAAGGGTGAGCTTATTCAGCAGGAAGTCTCAGAGGCTGAAAACATTCTAGGCTAGGTTAGAGTGCATGGAGGATGGATGCTTCCAGGACGAGGCCGAGGTTAGCAGACTGAGGCAGTAAGCCTCGAAGACGCTATCTAAAAGAGTCGCGGCCCTGCCTAAAACCCTTTGGTTGCATTTGTCTGGCATCTACAACGTGAATGCTGTGAAAGCGATACACTTGACCCCTCCAGTGCTCTCAGACTTCAAACACCCTCAGCTTTCTCCTCGGATTTCTGCAGGCGTTTTTCTCAAAGGGCCACCAAACCCCATGTCCTGGCATACAAAGGCTTCCTCCGTCCACTAATCCTGAGTCCGTCTCTCTCCAGGGAAGAACGAGGGCAGGCCTGGCTGCTCCTCAGCTGTGTCCAGCCAGGGGCCGGCACCTGCCTCCTCCAACCCTTGTGTGTGCTGCCTGGGGAGAGAGTGAATAAAGGCTTCTTCCACTGACCTTCCGGGCCCCAGGAGGCGTGGGCTGGAAGATGCGAGCCTGCATGTCTGAGGGCAGGTTGGCATAAATGGGCAGCACCAGAAGCTCCCGGATTTTGGAACCCAGTCGGCGGCAGCGGTCCTGGAGCATCTCACAGGCAGCCTCGATCTCCTCCTGAGTGTGGCAGGACGGCAGTCTTCCAGTCAGTCACAGGACCCACACACAGCCCACCCCCCTTTCCCTCCACAGCACACACCTGTCCTGTCAGGAACACCAGGATGTCCCCAGGGGGCTGGGTCACATGGATCTGCAGCACGGACACCACACAGGCTTCCAGGTAGTCAGCCTCTGGGGCCTGGGGAGGAGGAGGGGAGCCCCAGGCTCAGAGGACGCCTGCTCAGCAGACGCGCCGCACCACACCATCCCTTGGGACAGGTCCCTGAAGCACCCCTGCCCCCCCGCCTGCACTGCTGCCCACCCCCGGCACCTTGGTATAGAAGATGTCAACTGGGAATCTTCGTCCAGGGATCCGGAAGACAGGGGCATCATCAAAGAAGGTGGAAAACCGGGCAGTGTCCAGAGTGGCTGACGCTACCAGGACCTTGAGCTCAGGTCGGAACCTGGCCACATCCTTGATTAACCCAAAGAGGATGTCTGTGTGCAGGGTCCGCTCATGCGCCTCATCTACCATCACCACACTGGGGAGGAAATGAAGACTGTGAGGGAGAAGAGTCTGTGCAGTCAGGGCTGTCCAGCAGCTGTCCAGAGGAAAGGAGGGAGCTGAGGAGAACCCGGACAGATGGGGCAGGGGCCAGGGTTCTGTGATCTGTAGCCCATCTGGCCCTGGCCAAGAAAAGCCGTCAAGATGAGGTCGGTAACCCGTCTCAGCAGTGAAGTGCTAGCCACCAGGCCTGATGACCTGAGCGAGCCTGATCCCCGGGACCCACATCACGAAAGGATAGAATCGACTCCTGCAAGCTGATTACATATATGCACACACACCATGAACATACACATACACACGTGCGCGCGCACACACACACACACACACACACACACGAACACACACACGCGCACGCGCAGTCTAGGAGCCAGGACTGGAACGGGGCAGAGGTCTCTGCATCGGTCAGGAGTCGACACACAGCTGCTCTCACTGCAGAACTGGAAGGAAGAACGAGCCTTCACATAAACAGAGCCTGGCACGAAGGCTCTTGCTTGAAGTCTCAGTACTGAGACCCACAGATTGAGGCCAGCTCAGGCTACATGGTGTATTCCAGGCCAGCCTGTGCTACAGAGTGAAACCCAGTCTCAAACACGAACAGGAACTGGTGGGTCAGACAACTGGCCCGTGGGGAGAAAGACTGAGGAAGTACCTCTGAGGGACTCGGGCAGCGAGGCGGCGGGCCCAGAGGGCCCGTGTACCTGTAACTTGCGAGGTCAGGCTCAGAGAGGAACTCCCGGAGTAGCATTCCATCTGTCATGTAGCGGAGGACAGTCCGCTCTGACGTGCAGTCCTCAAAACGGATGCTGTAGCCAACCTGTCAGAGACAGTTGGAGACACAAGCGATCAGGGTCCAGACGTGAGGTGGGAGAGGCCTCCCCCTCATGACCCCAAGGACTTACCTCGTTCCCAAGTTTCACTCCCATCTCCCGGGCCACTCGGGCAGCCACGCTCATGGCTGCCACTCTCCGGGGCTGGGTGCACGCAATCTTCATCCCCTTCCGTGTGTACCCCTATGAGGAGAGAAGAGGAGGGCTGCTCCTCTGCCCGACGCACTGTCATGAGCCAGGCAAGGCCAGGGAGGACAGAGAGGAAAGCCAACAGCCCCCACAGCCTTCTGGTCATGCTCAGGGCTCTGCTCAACTTGAAGTAACAGGGTCAGACCCAGGTCAAAGAGCAGAACAAGGCTTTTACTCTCAGTTCTCTGGCCCGCAAGGGGAAAGCAGGGCTGAGGACACACAGGGTAGACGTCCATGGGGTTCAAGTTCATGCCAGTAACCTCCCGCCACTCGCCGGGAGGCCTCTTTGCTGGTAACTCACACTGGGTGTGGATGTGATGGCAGTGAGAACACGGCACACAGCTGTCATCTCAAGAACCCTGGGACTTGGCGGAAAGGCCTCCTTCAACCAGCAAAGGGGGTCTGCAGGACCGACGCAAGCCTGGGCGCCGAGGGACCACCATGACTCACCTCCTCAAAGAGGTACTGTGGGATCTGGGTGGTCTTCCCGGAGCCTGTCTCACCCTCAATGATGAGGACCTGGTGATTGGCGATGGCGGTCAGGAGCTCCTCCCGGAAGGGGAACACCGGAAGGCTGCGGCGGACGGCCTGGATGGACTCCTGCTGGGCCCGAGCTGACCGGGGTGGCGCTGAGGACGGCTCCTGAGGAAGGGGCGAGAGGCTGGGGGCCCTCCACCTGCACATCCCTCACATCCCCCTCCCCCAGGCTCACATCCTCCCCTCTGACAGCTCCACCTTTATCCTCACATCCCTGACTCCCCTCTTACCTCGTCACCATGGAGCTGGGTGGCACGGACAAACTCGATGGTCTCGTCCTCCTCCAGCACCAGCTGGTACTTGGGCTCCTGCGAGGCGGCGTCTCGGGCCCCAAACCTGAGCGACGCAGCACCTAGCCGGGCCTCCTCCCAGCGCCGCTGCTCCTCGCCTGGGGCTCCCGACTCCTCCTCCACCACGTCCACAGCCCTGGCTGGCTATGGGAGAGAGCAGCGACAACCTGAGGAAGGGGCCCGCTGTCCGGCTCCTCCTCTCCCGCCGGGCGCCATCACTCGGCCTCGCCCACGGCGGGAGGCCTGCCCTCACCTGTCCGCGAGTCTCCTTGGGCATGTGGTAGCGGTTGGTGGCCTCCAGCTTCTCCTGCTCGCCGGCCGCCCGGTACTCCCGAGCCAGGTCGCGCACCCTCCGCTTGTACCTGAGCTCCCTGCGCTCGTGGCGGCTCAGCTCCACGTCCCCAAACAGCACCTCCTCGTCAGCCAGCTCCGCCTCCAGGTCCTCCAGCTTCTCCCGCTCCCGCTTCGCCAGGTACTCGCGCCGGGACTTCTTCCGGAGCTCAGGCACCTGGGACAGGAAGGGTCAGTCAAATCCACACCCACAGGAGAGTGTGAGAACTCGGAAGACCACAGTGTGAGAACATTGGAGGCTGGCTGCCATGTTTTCATCCCGTCTCTGGACAGGGAGAGCCACGATTTGCTCACACACTCCATGGCTGGATCCTACAGTCAAGAGGGTTTGCAACTTTCTCCTTCTGCAGCCCAAATCCTGTCTTTCCTGGTTCCCGCCAGGCAGGCCCCTCCAGACTCTGAGCACCCACCCACACTCCACCACACTCGCTCCGCAGCCCCCCCCCCCCCCCTCAGCCCCCCCCCCCCCCCCCCCCCCCTCGCTCCGCAGCCCCCCCCCCTTGCTATGGCCAACCACTCCGTCAGTCTTCCTCTTTGTCTGCAGATCTGGTTTTTTGAACCCTGGGGTCTCACCATGGCTTTCCGGTCTTCCTCAGCCATCTTGAGGCGCTTCTGAGCCTCCTCATAAGCCTAGACGAGACCACGTAGAGGGACGTGAGGCCAAAGATGCCACCATCTATGACAACTCCCCTCAGGGTGACAGATGCCCCTCCCTGCCCCTGCTCAGGGAAGAACCTCTGTGAATCTCAACCCGGCAGTGAGAGCCTTAGCCAGAAAGCCCCCGTGAACCCCAGTGACAACCCTGTCTTCCCGGAGACACCCAGCAACAAACCCAGAGCTACCCACACTCTTCAACTCACCTTCTTATCTGAGCGCTCCAGCACATTCCGGGTCCGGTCCTTGTCCCGCCGCCGCACCCGCTCTGCAAAGGCATCACGCTCCTCCAAGTCCTGCAGACGCTCACGCTCCGTCCTCTCCCACTCATCCTCCGAGGCCGGCTTCTCCTCCGTGGGTGACTTACCCCCCCTGGATCCAGACCAGGTTCAGCCAAGGGGCTACCTCGGAAGCTTAGCACCCCCACAGCCAGCCAGCAACTCAAATCCCTCCCTCCTTCCTTCCGACTTACCCTGCCCTTCTCTTTCTTGCCTCAGAAGCCTCCTCCTCCTCCTCCTCCTGGTGTTTCTTCCGGAGGTGTTTCCGTCTTTTCCGCTTCTTCTGGAGGCTGCTCCTGTCCTTGTCCGCTGCCTCCTCACCACTCTCGCTGTCTTCCAGCAACTTGTAGGAGCGGTTCTTCTCTAGCAGGGCTCGGGCCTCCCGCTCGGCTGACCGAGCTGGCTTTTCCACCACGGCCTTCCGGGGCACCTGTCAGTGGAAAACAGGCTGCTATGAGCACTCGTGACCCAAGCAATCTCACCTGCTTACCGAGGAATTACTTTATTTTAAGACAGTTTTCATCTTTCTTTTCTGCCTGGTTTCGCTCCATGTTCACAGCTCAAGGCTTCTGAACTTCCAGGAATGGAGTTAGCAAATGATTACTGAAAACTACCCTGTGGTGGAGGGAGAGAACCAACATCTACAGGCTGTCCTGACAGCCACACGTGGGCGTACCATCACACCACAGAACTTTTTAAAGTTTCAATGATTCCCTTTTATCTTTGTGTGCATTGGTATTTTGCCTGCAGTGTGTGCTGTGTAAGCTTGTTGGATAACCCTAGAAATGGAGTTCCAAAAGTTGCAAGCTGTGTTCACTGGAAATTGAACCCAGGTCTCTGGAAGAGCAGCCAGGGATCTTAATTCCTGAGTCGTTTCTCCAGCCCCACAAGAGTTTTTTTTTTTTTTGTTTTTTTTTTAAAGAATCAGCCCTGAACTCAAGTAGTTTATATTCTACAACCCAACTTACATTTTTAAGTTGGGTTTTACTAGTTATTTATTTAGATACGGGTTCCTGGCAAAGCCACCCCATCCCCTGCAATTACAAGTGGCTGCCCGAACGACACCTGGTTGCTAGGAAACGAACTCAAGCCTCCGGATGAGCTACCGGGGTTCCTAACTGACGGGCCATCTCTCTTGGGCCTATCACCCTTTTTTTTTTTTCTTTTGGTGTTTTTTGAAGCAGAGTTTCTGTGTGTAGCCCTTGGCTGTCCTGGACTCACTCTGTGGAACACACTGGCTTCGAACTCACAGCGACCCGCATGCCTCTGCCTCCCGAACGCTGGGATCACAGACGCGCGCCACCGGGCTTCTATCGTATTTCTTAACGGCTCATTGCCGTAGCTCTGTTCTTTTCCCCAGCGCTGAGGATCCCGAGGCTCACTGTGTGCTACACTAAGCTCTTTACCAACTGAGCCACATCCTTAGCCCTGGAATGTGAGCTTTAAAAACGTGCGCAGACCCCTGTCTCCTGAGTCTTCTGCACACAGCTGTACGCCCAGCATCTAGCACAGTACCTAGACAACAGAGGACAAAATCAAATGTGTGGCCGAGCCAGGAGCCGTAGGCCCGTTATCCCCGTACCAGGGATGCTCGCCGCAAGCTCGAAGCCAGCCCGTGTCCTATACTGAAAGTCCCAGGCTACCCTACAACACAGAGATACCCTGGGCCGATGCGGCTGCGAGCGGGCCGCCCTGGCGGCACACACCTTGCTCCAGAGCCTCAGTGCGAAGTCCCGCGCCGGGCCGCCGAGGTCCAGGGTGTCGGTGTCGCGCAGGCGCTGCACGAACTCCTCGGCGGAGGCGCAGCGCTGCGCCGTGCCGATGAGAAACTGCGCGACGTGCCGCTCGCTCAGCCCCAGCACCGAGTGCAGCTCCTCCTGCACCCAGCGCTCCAGCCCCGCCGGCGTCGCCATGGCGGCGCGTCCCGGCCAGAACCGCGGCGGGGCCAGGGGCGGCCCGCTGCGCCACCGCCTCGCACCGGCCACCGGCCACACTCAGCGTCCAAACCGCGGGGCCCAACGGCTCTAAACCGTCTTCCGGAAGCGCGAAACCCGGAAGGAGTCCCGTCCTTCCGGCTAGAGCTCGACGGTGGCGGGGCGGGCTCAAATCGCGCAGCCTCTTTTCCCACGCCTCCGAGCGCGGCCTTGCCCGAGCTCTCTGCCGCCCCCTAACGGTCTGTGCGCGGCCGCTGCGCTCAGCCAGTACTAGCCTAGAAGGCTTTCCAAATAGCTTGGGGTAAAAGGAGCACAAATCAGGTTTAGGTAAACAAAATACATACTGAAGGGCTGGAGTTTGGCTCAGCGAACTCGAGTTCGATTCCCGGCACCCGCAATCCTCTTTGCTAACCGCTTGTAACTCCAGGTCCAGGGAGACATACACATCGTTTAAAATATTAAAAGAATTTAGGGGCTGGAGAGATGGCTCAGGGGGTGGGTAAAAGAACTGGCTGCTCTTCCAGAGGACCTGGGTTCGGGCCCAGCACCCACATGGCAGCTCACAACTGTCTGTAACTCCAGTTTTAGGGAGTTCCATTTCTAACGCCCTCATGCAGACATGGGCAAAACAGCAATGCCCGTGAAATTAAAAAATATAGATATTTAAAAAATTTCACAAATAAGAAAATTAAAGGTATATAATAGAGATACGATGCGTAGGTTGGCTGAGAGTTCGGGTGTCTTTAGATTTTAAAATGATCTATCTATTTTATGTGCACGTGTGTTTGCCTGGATGAGGTCGTCTGCACCGAGTGTATGCAAAGGCCCCTTAGGGTCAGAGATTCTGTGTCTGTGTGCAGCTACAGGCAGTTGTGAGTTAACTGACGTAGTACTGGGAGCCAAACCCCAGTGCCCTGAAGAGCAGCCAGTGTTCTTAAGCACGCGTCTCCAGCTCCCTTTCTTTTCTGTGCCTACATGTATATGCAAGCACGTATACACTCGGGATCTGGAAGAGGGCCGTGGATCTCCTGACTCTGGAGTTACGGGTGTCTCTGAGCCTCCGTGTGAGCGCTAGCAGCTGAAACCAAGTCCTCTGAAGAGCAGCCAGCTCTCTTAACCGGAGGCCATCTTGGCGGCCACTGTTTTGCTTTGAACACAGGGTCTGTAGCATTCGCTGCCCTTATTGGACTGTGAAGCTAAAGATGACCTTGAAGTCTTGTCCCTTCTGTTCTTAAGTGCTGGGATTATAGACATGTGCCATCACATTTGGCTAAAATGTGTCATTTATTTACAAATAAGATACTTGTATATAAACGCTGAACAAAGGAATGAAAGGCAATTTAAGTAGATTCTATCTCAAATCGATAGGCGGCAGGAAGAATGGATAAGGTTCGAGTATTCCACGTTGTAAAAAGCGATCCACTCGGATATGGACACCTTAGCACTTAGCTACTGTGGATGAGTTTCAGGAAATGTCCCAGAGAGCCCAGGCGTCACAGGTCTCAGACCTGACCAGGGACAGGAGTTGAATTTCGGAATAACTGATGGTCTTTGCTTCCTTTTCCAGTTCCTATAGAGGCTGTGGCTGAAGAGGGGATGGGAGGCAGCCTTTTTTTTGTTTGTTTTTGCCTATCGACTGCCTTGTCAGATGCAAGCTCCCTGAATACAACATAACTTGAGTAGTCTATTGGTGTTTCTATTGCTGACAGACAGCAGAAGTTACGTTGGATCAGGTCCAGGAACCCAAGTGAACAGGACGGTATACATGCTTGTTGTTCCTGTTTGGGGAATCGAGGCCAGACAATTTCTCAAAGAACATGAGAAAAGCTCTGTCTTTGCTGTTGTCTTTGGCAGTATTAGCTTATTTTGCTAATATGATAATATATAATATATATATAATATATATTATATTAGCAAATACATAAATATAATATATATAATATTATATACAATAATTTATATAATATATATAATATTCATATATATATAATATTCCTCTGTGTAGCCCTGGCTGTCCTGGAACTCACTCTAGAGATCAGGTTGGCCATCAACTCAGTGATCAGCCTGTCTCTGCTTCCTTGGTGCTGGGATTAAAATGACTTGTTAATGTTTTGCTCACACGTCTATGCATCATACATGTGTCGGGTGCTCACGGAGGTCCAAAAGATGTTTGTTCCCCGGGAACAGGAGTTACAGATGGTTGTGAGCCACCATGTGGGTGCTGGGAAGGAAATCAAAAAAAGCTGGTGGGTGATGGCGAGCTGGAGGCAGGGAAAACAATTAGAGAAGGGGCTGGATAGATGGAGGCTCAGCAGTTAAGAGCACTGGTTGCTCTTCCAGAGGACCCAAGTTTGATTCCCAGCACCCAGCTGGTAACTCACAACTATCTGAAACTCCAGTCACCAGGTGACACACAGACATCCATCCAGGCAAAACACAATAAAAAGACAATACAGGAACAATGAAAACTTACAAAGAAACAGAGAGGCAGCAACAGAGTTGAAAAGAGCTCCATTTTATTACGGAAAGTTACAAAAGGAAACAAGTCAGGCAGTTGACACAGGAGCGATGGGAAAGGCCAGCGCCTCCTCAATTCCACCCGAACCAAGGTGGAGCAACAGAATTAAATAACTTTCATGGGGTTCAAGGTTAGGACCCCCAGCCTTCCCTCCTGGGGGAAACTGAGGCACAGTAATACTGAGCAAAGTTGAAGAAAGCCACACACCTCCCCAGGTCACTGTCAAGGAAACACATGGAAGGCGGAGGACTCAGGGGCTCTGGGAAGACGCCATTGTAAACCTGGGACTTTGGCAGGTGGGACTGGGAACTGGTGGGCATGTAAACCAGGCCGTGAGCGAGAGAGGCAAAGGAAGCTGTAAACCAAGGGGCAGTGACCTAGAAACCAGGGTGCTTGCGGATGGGGTGGGACCCCAGGGGTGGCGGGGAGCCAGGGAAGGCTGTGGGGGCAGTGTGCCCTGCCCCGGCGCTGGAGGTACAGGCGAAGCCTGCATTTCACCCAGGGCTTGATGCTTGCCCCAGGGGGACCTCGGGTTAGGGGTAAATTTAGGCTCCTGGCTCTGCCCACAAACAGGATATGCCCATTGCCCTCCCCTACCAGGCTCACTGCCAGGGTCTGTCGTCTCTGAATCATCCAGAATCTGCAGGGACGGGAAGAGGGAGGTATGTGCCCAGACTGGAAGATGGTCACCGCCGGCAGGACTCATCTGCAGGGGAAGAGGTGATGGAGACAGGGACCTGAGCAAGGCCCCACCCCCCCAGCAGGGGAAGAGGTGATGGAGACAGGGACCTGAGAAAGGCTTCCACCTCCCACGAGTCCCAGGATTGAAGAGGGCTGGTGTAGAGGTCACCGGGAACACCAGCCGCCACAACCAGCTGGGTTCCATGCTAGGCCCCTTGTTAAGCTAAACTAGCTGTGTCCCACCTAGGCGCTTCCCAGGACCTCCTCAGTTCTTCCAACTGCACAAGGTATCACTATGCTCTTTCTGTGGTGCTGGGGTTAAAGCACAACCTTGTCTGTTTACTTCAGGCAGGGCCTCAACCCCAGCCTTCACCTTATCAGTATTTGTTTGTTTGTTTGTTTGCTTTGTAGACCAGGCTGTCCCTGTCCTCCTGACGGGGGAATTACAGGCGCGACCAATCTTATCACTGAGCTACGCACTCCACAGCCCGGGACACAGTTGTTAACTCTATTTTTAAGAACGTTAAAGCCGGGCGGTGGAGGCGCAGGCTAGTGGATCGCTGTGAGTTCGAGCCAGCCTGGTCTACAGAGCGAGTCCAGGACAGCCAGGGCTACAGAGAGAAACTCTGTCCTGTCAAAAACCAAATAAATAAATACTGATATAAAGGAAGACTCAGCGGGTGAGCAAATTGGGCCCTTCAAAGCGCCACCGCGCCATGGGCACCAGGGGGCGCCCTGCACCAGCCGCTTACCCACTATCAGGGCCTTGGTGCGCAGCCCGCTCCGGAGCCCCTGGGGCAGCAGCAGCTCCTCCTCCTCCTCCTCGTCCTCGTCATCGTCAGGCTGGGTCGCAGAGGGGTTGGCAGCGCTGGGGACCTCAGGCTCCAGGCCCAGATCCTCCAGTACCGAGCTCTCGGAAGGGTACTGGTAGGTGGTTTCCAGGGCCGTCTCACTGAAGGTGATCTTCAGCTGTGGGCAAGAGGGCAGATGCAAACGCTGGGCCTGGCCTTGGGCACCCTGAAAAGCCCCCCCACACGTGGGGATTTGGCTTTTTTTTTGCATCCTGATTCTCCCTTCAAATGTCAGCGTTGGAGGCTGGGAAGTGGTTATGAGTAAGGTTATGAGCGGCTCAGTGGTTATGAGTACTCCCTGCTCTCGCAGAGGACCTGGATTCGGTCGGTGTATCTCCCCCCAAATTAATGCAAAAAAACCAAACCAAAAAAACAAAACAAAACAAAAAAAAAAAAACAACCCAACAGTCAAACAAGACTAGAAACAAACGAACAAAAGAACTAGCAAAAAAGCTAAACAGCCAGGAGGGTTACAGCAAGGCCCAGGCCAACCTTCCACGGAAATCAAAAAGTCAGCTGGCGCACACCTGGGAGGCAGAGGCAGGTGAATATGAGTTTCCAGGCCAGCCTGGTCTAGCTGGGGTCTAAGCTGCCCAGGCAGGAAAGCAGGCTGGTTAGAGAGGAGTCCCTGAAGGGCCCTACTTTCCATAGCCTCAGCCTTTCATGTTCCCTGGGGGAACCAGGCTCCAGAGAACCCCCCAACCTCTCCCCTGTCCAATGGGTCCAGGCTGGGGAACGGATAGGACCACACAGAGGTCTAGCTGATGCTCAACATCCAGAAGAGCGCCTGGAACCTGTAACTTGTGAGCTGACAAGGATGGAGAGGGGGCCAGAGGGTACCCACAGAAACAGAGGCCAGAAGGATGCCCAGAACTGGCTGTGGCAGCGTCCCTCTGTCCTTCCCCTTTGCCCTCCTAAGGAGATCTGCGACACACAATGGGATTAACTCCGCCAGCCTGAGGGCTTAGGGAGACAAGCAGGAGGGGTTTCGGGTGACCTGTCCAGGGCATCTGCGGCCCAGGATCCCAGAGCTTCCGCGTGACCTAGAGTGCGGCTGCAGGGGCCGAGAGACATGTGACACCTTGGTCCCCAAGGAAAGCAGGGCACCCAAGACCGTGTCACTCCCTGGGTCCACACCGTGCAAGGGCTTCTTCGGTTTGTTTTCTAGGACAGGGTTTCTTGTGTAGCCCTGGCTTCCTGGACTCAGTAGACCAGGCTAGCTCTGCCTCCTGGGATTAACGACCTGCGCCACCCCCGCCCCGCCCCCTGCAATGGCTTTGTTTTTTAGGATTTATTTTTGAATGTGTATGAGTGCTCTATCTGCATGTATACCTGCCTGCCAGAAGAGGGCATTAGATCCCACTATAGGTGTGATATAGCATAGATCACATATGGTTGCTGGGAATTGAACTCAGGACCCCTGGAAGGTCAGACAGGGCTCTTAACTGCTGAGCCATCTCTCCAGATGGAAACTCTTTTTTTCCTTCATCTGGTGTTTCGCCTGCATTAAGTGCACGGTGTGACGAAGCGTCCCACAAGGCCGGCCAGAAGAGCACGCCAGATCCCCCAGAACTGAGGGGGGGGGGTTACAGGCGAGGTGCTAGGAACTGAGCCCAGACACCCCGGCAGGGCAGCAGGTGCTCTTAACGGCTGCTCTACCTCTCCGTTCCGTTTTTACTTCTGAGACTGGAGCTCACTCAGTAGCCCAGGATGGCCCTTACCAGCCACTAGCCGAAGGGCTGAATTTTCTTTTTTGTCTGTGCTTGGTTGAAATCGTGGGTACATCCCCTGGTGCAGAAGGCTGGGTGTACGGACTACTTTATACACACAGCTGCCATGGAAGGAGTTTGGAAGCTGCCGCGCTTCCTTGGGTGTCTAAGGCATCAGGTAAGGTCCCATCAGAGGACCAAGTCCAGGCGGAAGAGAGGGCCAGCTACCAGGTGATTCTGTTGTGGACAGCGGCACCCAAGTTCCCAGAAGCCCGTCCTCTGCGTCCTCAGTTCCCTCCCTACACTGCATCATCCGTTCTGTAATGGCTTCATTTCATTCACTCCATCTCCTTCAGCGTCCCTCCCTTGCTTCCCTTCCCCACAGCTTCTGACTGGGCTGCTCAGGAATGCACAACCCGAATGGGGGGGCAAGTGACTCACTGAATCCTCTCTCTCATCAGCTATATAAGGTCACAAGGGGGCCGGGGAAGGAGGGGCGGGTCTGCAGCCAGAGATGCTGCACCCGAGCCTCAGAGGGGCAGGCTGCCTCGCAGGGCGTCAGGGAGCAGCTTGACGGAAATAGTTGGAGAAGGAACAGTTTAGAGCCGGTGAGGGATGGTGAGACAGAGACAGGGCAAAAGGGCCGGTAATCCCCGCTGAGGCTGCACAGAGGAGGCGGTGTGTGTGTGTGTGGTGGGGGAGGTAAATGGTCAGGTTGGGGAACAGTGCGGCCTCCTCCCCACCCCCACCCCAGTGTAGCTGCTTCCTGATTCTCTCACCACATCCTGAGCACAGTTCTCTCAGGCCGTGTTCCCACTCAGTGCCACCAGCCTTCCGGGCCCCCACCCCAGGCTTCCTGTTCGGAAGGTCTGCTTCCGCCCCTCCCACTTGATGGCCTAGGTATGGTCACCCTCACAGTCACTGCTCTGCGCTGGGCTCCTTGGCTTCCCCCAGATGGTTCCTAGGCTGGGCCACGAAGCCCCTCCTCTGCTCACTCGCAGGCAGCCTCTGTAGGAAGTGGCTTTTCCGAACACCTCACCCAGGGAGAATTTCCTGTCCTCAGCCCTTTCTATCTAACCCAGGCCTAAGAAGAGAGGATCAACACTAGCTGGGGCAGAGGGGGGAGAACAGAAGTCATGTTCGGACACACTACCATGAAAACGAATGCTTTGTACAGGAGTTAAAAACAGCAAAAACGATGAGTTGGGAGGGCTCCAATGATGCCTAGGCTTAGTCCTAATCTCTGGTCCTGATGGTCTCCTACTGGCACTGGGCGCACACACAAACATATGAGGACCAGGGTGAGCCAGGCTTCCCTGGCCCTGGGAAGACGAGTGTTTCGTGGAGGACCTTCTGCTCTGAGGCACCTGAGTGTGTCTCTCCACACAGATTTCTCAGGAAGACTACTGGGGCCAGCCGGGCCTGGTGGCGCATGACCTTAATGCCAGCACCCGGGAGGCAGAGGCAGGCAGATCTCTGTTGGTCTATGGAATGAGTTCCAGGCCAGCATGGGCTTACACTGAGAAACCCTGTCTATTGGTGCACACAAGGAAGGCCCTGGGCCAGGGCCGGAGGGGACAGTTATCCTGTCCAGTGTTTCCTTGCTTGTCTGCATTCCAGGCTAACCTCTGACCCTCAGCCGGCCCCACCCCTGCCCCAGCTCCCACAAGCGCCTGGGCCAGTCTGCTCAGTTCACTGAAAATGAACTTCTCTCTTTCTCTACCCCAAGGGGAGGGAGAGGCCAGGGTAGCAGGAACAGAGGCTGAGCCAGTTTTGGGGGGTGGGGCCCAGGGAGGAAAGATGGGGGAAGGGACTGGGATATTTTGGAAGAGAGAAGGCTTTTCTTGTCCCCAGAGAGAAGGAAGCACTGTCTAACATTTGCTCAGCCTAGGGGTGAGGGGAGCGAGGCAACCCCGAGGTCACCCACTTCAAATGGCCTCTGTGTGTCTCTCTCCCGGGGGGAGGGGGCGACTTGGGGTCCAAAAGCCTTCTCTGCTTTTCAGCCAGCTCTGTTCCTTCTCACCCAGCCCTCTGTCCTGGCATGTCCTCATTTAGCTCTGTCCCCTCTGTCTCCGGGCTGAGACCTTTATTCCAACTTCCCTGAACTTCTTGCCTCCACATTCTCTGCCCTCCCAGGTGTTTTCATGGCTGCAGGGCGCTTATCTCTTCTCTCCTACCAGAAGGGCTTGGCTGGGTCAAAAACTCAAAGGGAGAAAGAGGAAAAAAAAAAAAAAAAAAAAAAAAAAAGGAGAGGAGAGGGGACTGAGAGCAGGAGGGAAAGAGAAGGAAGGAGGCTGGACACACCCTGAGAACGACACACCCCGACACAGCTGAGCAAAATCCTCAGGGCTCCCAAATGAATGGCAGAGGAAGGCTACCCGAGGGTGTGCGTGCATCGGGAGGAAGGGAGGAGGCAGGGATAAAAGGAGTGGAAGGCATAAAAAAGCCACCAGGCCAAAACCAGAGCAGGACTTCCACCCAGCCGGGCACCGCAGCTCTTACCTGTTTGTGATGTCTCTCGGGGGACCCCTTGACAAGGCAGCTGCGGCTGAGGCGGAGGTAGCCTCCCAGTACCAGGATCTCCTCAGCAGTCGGGTACCGCTTCTTCCCGGCCCCAGGCCCCGCAGCATCGGCCGGGGCAGGGGTGACCGGAGGGGCCGGGCTGGCCGGGGGCGCGCACCTCCGCGGGGTGACAGTGAAGGTGTGTCCGCTGCGGCGGGGCGCCCCCACCCCCGGTCCTGCCTTCACCCCATAGAACAGTCGGCTCATGAGGGGATCCCCAGCGGGCTGGGGGGCGGCTGGGGGTGGGGGAGACAGAGGGGCTGGCGTTGGGGGCCGGGGTTCCGCGCCTTCCTCTTCCTGCTGTCTGGAGCCTTCCGCCCCAGAGTGCTCTGGTGGGAGGAGGGAGGGCCCAGCGCCGAGGTTGTGCTGGGCTCTCAGAGGCCTGCTCTGAGCCCCCGCCTCCTCCTCCTCAGCCTCCCCTCCAGCCTCCGCACCAGAAGGCCCCGGGTGCGTCCCTGAAGACGCCGGAGGCCCTGGCTTCTGAGTTTGCGTCTCTAAGTCCCACGGTATCCGTTCTCGAGCCTTCCCAGAGTTCAGGGTCCATTTCCAGCCTTCAGCGGGCTTCGAGATCCTGTCTCCACCCGCCTCAGGGCTGGGCCTCTGCTCGGCGCTCTCCAAGTCTCCAGCGGTGGTGTCCTGAACCGCCTCTGTCGCCGGAGACTGGTCCCAGACACTCCCCGAAGTCGGGCTCTCTTCCCGCCTCCCGCACTCCTCCGAGACGCAGCTCCGCCCCTCTCCTGAGTTCAGCCTCCACGCTGTGGCCTCCAGCTGTATCTCGCTCTGCTTCCGGGGGTCTCTCGAGTCAAGACTCCATCTGTGGGCCTCTGTCAGGCTGACCTTCAGGTCACCAGCCTCCCCAGGGCTCAGCCTGCTTTCCAGTACCTCTGTCCTCTTGGGACTGTGGTCTCCAGGACCCGCTGATCTGAGGCTCTCCTCTGGAGATTCTCCGGGGCTCAGCCTCCATTTCTGAGCTTCTCCTGGTCTTGAACTCGGGTCTCTGGCCTCTGCTGGGCTCAGCCTCCAGTCTCGAGTCTCCAAAGTCCTAGAACTTGACTCTTGGGCTCCCCCTATCACCAGCCTCCTGTCTCTGGGCTCCCTGGGGCTCAGTCTCTCTTCTCTTGACTCTCTCCCCTTGGGGCTCTGATCTCTTAAATTACCGGGACTGGATCTCCGTTCTAGAGCCTCCAGAGGCCCAGGCTTCCTGTCACCGAGCGCCTCAGTTCGCTGCTGTTGCTGCCGCTGCCGCTCCTGTTGGATGAATCGGTTCTGATGTACGGGTCCTATGGCCTCAAGGAGGACAGCAGATTCATCTGGGTCGGGAGGTCCGGCCTCTGCATTCCCAGGCACAGGGCTCGCCTCTCCAGGAGGAAGGCCCAGCTTGGCTCTGCGGCGCTCCAGGATTCCCCGCTTCCAGGCCGGCATCTGGGACAGGCGGTCGCGCTCTGCCTTCTCCCTGCCGCGAACCACTGCCTCCTCCTGCCGCCGCCGGGCGAGCAACTGTAGCTTCCAGTCCGGGATAGCGGTCATGGTCACTGGAAGCGGAGGGAGAGCGCACTGGGGGGGACAGGAACAGGAAGAGCAGGCTCAGAGGAGCCCGGGGACTGAGAACGGGGGTGGGGGAGAAGGAAAGGGTTCGCGAAGGGACTCAGAAGGGACGGAGGACGGCGGAACTAAGGGCGAAGATGCAAGGAAAACGGGAGAGAAGGGAGGGCGAGAGAGGCAGGAACTGAAGACGTGAAGAGAGAAGCTGGGTGCCAAGTTGGGGGTGGGGATAATGGGAGAGGAAGAGTCGAGATTCCGGGCAGAGGCAGGCTGAGGTTTGTGCGCACCAGATAGTGCCTAAGACACGAGAAGGGCGAGAAGGAAAAGCAGGAGTGAGAGCAGAAGAGACGGAGGCGCTGGGGCCGGGAGGGGAGCGGCTCAGTCGGGGCTGCCTCCGGGGCACCCAGGGGAGAAGAGTGCGAAGGAAGTCCAGGGGGGGCCGGCCGGCGCGGTCGGAGGGGATGGAGAGGGCTGAGGGCCGAGGGCGAAGGGGAGACCGGGGCGCGGGCCCGCCGGTCCGGCCGCCTCCCGCCGCTCGGCCCCGCCCCTCGGCCCGGCCCCTACCCCAGCGCGCGTCCCGCCCCCGGCGCGCAGGGGAAATACCCTCCTCGGGGACTTTCGGTACCCGAGCGGGCGTGCTGGCCGCGCGTCCCGGCAGCCTGGCGTCTGCCCGCGCCCAGGCCCGGCCTCCCCACCAGCGGAGGCCCGGGGCGCGGCGCGGCGAAGAGCCGCATCACGCCCGCGCTGGCGCCCGACCGCGGACCCTGTCCCCGAGGGCCGTGCGCCCAGGGACGCTGCGCGGACGGCCGGTCCCTGCACAAAGGAGAGGCGGTCCAGGGCGACCCGGGGCCAGGAGGCACTTCCCCCAAAGTGGGAGCCCCACAGTCAACTCACACGCCTTGGGGTCCCCGGGAGGCGGAGGTGCGGCGGAGCCGGGCGTCCGGAGAGAGGAAGAGGAGGAGAGAGGCGCAGGGAGATCCGGAGGGCGGGAGGAGGGAGCCGGGAGGAGGGCCGCGGCGCGGCCGGGGGGCCAGGCGGGGGCGGCGGCCGCTTTGTCTGCGGACAATGGGGCGAGGGAAGGGGGCGCGGGGCGGAGCCGGGCGGGGCGGGGCCTCGCGGCCCTCCTTCCCGCGTGGGGCCGTGCGGGGAGCGCTCTCCCGCCGCGGCAGTCCCCGGCCCTGTGTCCCCCGGGGGCCGCGCCCGCTTCCTGCCCGGCCGCTCCAAGAAGCGGGGCGCCCGGACCCACGGTTTCAGCCGGGCGCGCCGGGGCGGCAGCCCGTGACTCAGGCCCCCTGAGGGACACGGGGAGGAAGCGGCAGCTGCTCGGGGTCGGGCCCGCCCTTCCCATCCCCGGCCGCGCCTCCCCACGCCTTTGTTACTGTGGCGGGGAAGCGGCTGCCAGGCCCCGGGGTGCGGGGCAGGTGGCTTGGGAGTTCGCGCCCCTGTCTCCCGCGGGCTCCCAGGTCCGCAGCTGGAGGAACGGCCGTATTTGGAGGGGCAGGACTGGGCGGGCCCGCGGGGTGTGGCCACAGCGATGCTCGGCTGCCGCCCCACCCTTGGTCCCGCCTGCGGCTAGAGAGGCAAGAACGGACAACTGGATACCGTGTGTAGAACATTTTAATTTTTCTGCAGCGCATATCCTCGGGGAGAGCAGCGAGCCCCGAGTCAACCCGAGTTAAAACCGAGAGACGCCGCCGTAGGAGACGCACCTCGGGGCGGTAGGGCGGGACCTGGGGAGGTGGAGAGAGTAAGGCAGGGGTGGGGTGGGGGCACGGATAGCGCCACCTGCAGACAGGCCCTGACACAGCTCCCGGCAGTGTCCCGGGGCCAGGGGAGCGAGCGCCCGAGGCAGGCCCTCAGACAAAAGCAGCTCTGTACCCATCCTTGATGGCTGAGAAGCGGACCCCGGACGTAGGTGGCCGGAACTCTGAATCTAGAGTCTGGACCGAGACCCGAGGTCCCAAGCAGGGGAAGGGGCAGTCGTTCCGCCCTCCCCCAGAGCATTGCTTCCAGCCTGTGTGCAGCGAGCCCGGCCTGGATGCCGAGGGGGTTGGCTTTGAGGTGCAAGTGTAGGGCTGAGGGCCGGAGCTACTCCTCACTCTGCTTCCCCATCCTGGGGTCTGGAGAGAAGCTGCAGCTTTCTTTGGAGTTGGGACCGGAGGTATCGGAGATCCTGCTGGTCAAGCCCGTGCGCCAAGCCGAGGTAGAGGGTGAGGAGAAGCGCCAGGAGGAGGCGATCGGTGCCCAGCGTGGGCACCGCCCACAGCACCGTCAGCAGCTCCACGCACACCGGGTGCCGAAGGTGGGAGAAGAGCCTCAGGGCCCGAGGAGACTTCAGAGCCAGGGGCTCGCCCAGCCCCAGCACGTGGTAATATACCTAGGAGAGGGAGCACAGAAGGGAAGCCGAGGCGAGCCCTGCCTCTCAGCTACCCCTGTGTTCTTCCTGACACCCTTCCGAGAGTCCACCCCCACCCCAGTCTCTGACCCAGGCACCGTCCTCAAGCCCAGGGGACCGTCAGTTAATGTCTGTCCTTTGAAGGCAAGCTGAAAGAAAGCCATCAGGAAAGGAGGCAGGGGTTAGAAAGCCCAGCGAGGCCAGAAGGGCCCAGGAGGGCGAGAAGGGCAGCCGCAGGCCCCTCGAGGGCTGGGGGTGCTCACCTGTTTGAGGCCCATGAGCTCAGCATAGTCAAAGACCAGCAGGATGCTGAAGATGAGCAGCCAGGAGACCACGTGGAGCATGAAGCAGAGGAGGGGCACCCAGGTGGCCCACGGCTCCGCCCGGGCCTCCCACAGCACCGGGCCTCTCGGGACCGCCTCCCAGTACCGAATCACCAGCTGGGGAAAGATGAGGGTCGGGCAGCCCAGTGGCCTCCTTTGCCCCCAGCCCCAGGGGTAAAGAGGAAATAAGTTACCGTGTGGACGGGTCTGGGTACAGAGAACTCGGAGACGACCCATTTCTACACGGGATTTGCGGAGTGGGTGGGGCGGGGCTGGTGGGGACCCACCGAACTGGCCTATGCCACACACCCAGTGAGGACACTGACTTGGAAGGCCCGTCCTCCCTTGAGACCCAGGGAGGTGGCTGGTGAGACAAGAGCCCGGGGGATTAAGGAGAAAGGACAAAGGTAACTAAGATGCTCACGCTGTGCTGGGGAGCTCAGACAGTCATCTCTGCTGATGGAGCAGAGCATTCTCCCGGGGTAACAGGCTGAGATCGGCACCTGGTGCTCACACTCGTTTTGCCCCTCCAGTGGAAGCACACCCATGCACCGTGCCTGCCGTGGCCAAGCTTCATACCTGCAAGGCCAGGGCGGTGCATGCCACATACAGTGACCTCTGAAGGACTCCAAAGTACCGGGATGTCCACGCCTTCACCATCTCGGTGGCCATGAGGCTGTGTTGCACCACAAACAGAAGCAGAAGAGCCAGATCCCAAGCCAGGGGGGCAAGAATGCTTCTGTCCTGCAGGGCAGCCAACCACCCCCGGCGGGCCTCTGAGGGAGCCGGGAAGAAAGGGACAAGAGCTCAGTTAAGGTGGCCAGAACGTTCCCCGCGCATGCCCTCATCTTCTGGGGCTCCATGCCTGTCCCTGACGCTTCTGAGAGCTTGTCAAGACCATACCCAGTTCACTTTCCTGTTCCTTCCGTCTGCCCACGCCTCCTTGTGGGGAAGAAAGGTCTTGGAAGAATGCAGGTAGGGTCAGGGTTAAGACCAGGCTGGAGGGCTGGGGAGATGGCACGGCCCACAAGGGTCTGAATTCCATCCCCAGCACCTCAGCACGGTGGTGTGTGTGCTGTGTGCGTGCAATCTCAGTGCTTGGGAGGCAGAGACAGAGAACCCCCAGAGGGGCTGGTGCCCGGCGCGGCCATTAGGCACACTTGCTGCTCTTCCAGAGGACCCGGCTTGGTTCTGTGTCCACATGGCAGCTCACGCCCATCTATGACCCCGTCCCGGGGGTCCGTCTAACCCAGCTGGTAGGCCCCAGATCGCAGTGAGAAGCTTTGTTCCCAGAATTCGGCAGAGGCAGAGGCAGGTGGCCCTCTGAGTTTCAAGCCATCTGGGAATACATAATAAGACCCTGCCCCAAACAGGTGGCTAGCGCCGGGGCCTCGTAGCAAATGGCTTTAATCCCAGCATTCAGGGAGACAGGCAGGTGGATCTTTGTGAGTTCGAGGCCAGCCTGGTCTACAAAGTGAGTTTACGACAGCCAGGGCTACATAGAGAAACCCTGACGGGGGAATGGGGTGGGAGGGGGGGAGTGGCTCCTGAGAAGAAGACTGTCGTGGTGGTTGTCAGCTGCACCTGGCCACACAGAAGCACAAGCATACATCCCACATATATTCACACATACACGGCCCTCACGCAGTGGACCAGGCCTCGCAATCAGTGCTAGTCCAGCAAGAGACCCTGAACTCAAAGATGCACTTGCCTCTGCCTCTCGAATAAAGGATGCAAAGTTTGGGCTAGCTCGGCTCACGCAGGGGTTCTCCAGTGCTGCCCCTTTAGTTCTCCCCACAAAGCCCGGCCCCGCCCGCACTCTTCTCACTCCCCAGCCTCCCGCCCAGGCTGACCGCGGAGTTCCCGGCGGAGCCTCGGGCTCCCCGCCCAGCGGCGCCCCGCCCTCCACACGCCGGCCGGCTGCTCCCCTCGGCTTCTGCCCTGGATCCCCGCGGCTCACCGGGACCGCCGGGCTCGGGGACCCCTCCGAGCAGCGGCCGCAGGGAGGTGAAGCGCACGAACTCCACTCCGGTGCCGAAGGCCAGGACGAAGGAGGCGAGGGCCGCGGGGACCAGCAGCAGCGCGGGGGCCATGGCGAGCGGCGGCGCTGGCCGGGGAGGCGGGCTCGGGCTTCCCGCGGCCGCCGGCCCCGCCCAGGCCCCGCCCCCGGGGCGGGGCGAGCGCGTCACAGGGCCGAGCCTGGAACCCCGGGCGTCGTCAGGGCGGCGGCGCCCGGCGGGAGCCTGCGAGGCCGGGCAGAACCGCCGGAGGGGACGCTCTTGAGGACAGCCATCCCCGCTGTCCAGCCTGCGTCCCTGGCGTGCTGCGTTACTTGTGGTGCCGCCACGCCCAGCGTGGACTTTTATTTAGTGGTCATTAAGAGCTGGGCGTGGTGGCTCATGCCTGTAGTTCCAGTGCTCGCTCTGGAGGCAGGAGGCAGGAGGCAGGATCTGAAGTTACCTTGGGCTGCATACGGAGACCAGGTCTGAAAGAGCCATCAAAAATGGGAGGAAAAAAAAAGGCCAGGTAGTCCTGGCACCTGCGAGGCGGAGGCAGTGGATCTCTTGAGTTCAAGGCCAGCGTGGTCTACAGAGTGAGTTGTAGCACAGCCAGGGCTACAAGAGAAATACTGTTTCTCAAAACAAGAAAAGATTTCGGAGGCAAAAGGCTAAGTCAGCACCGTAGCTATCCCATGCAGGGTCCTCAGAAGACATAAACTCCCTCGGTCTATGAGCAAGGTCAGGGAGATAAAAATGTCCAAGACTAAGTCCTGCATGCTGAAGCGTCCGGCAGAACCCTGGCTGGCTGCTCCCACCTCTGGACCAAGCTGTCACGTGCTGTACAGCGCCTTTCCTCCCCAGGCTTCTTTGCTTGGGGAATTTGTACCGAGTGGGCCGTGGTGGTGAAGACCTGTTTCTCATGAAGCTCTCTCTACACTGTGCTCTCCACTTTTCAGTGTAGAATCTCCATGTAGCCCAAGCTGGCTTTGAATTTGCTATTATGTAGCTGAGAACAGTCTTGAAGTGTGATTCTAAGCCTCCAAGTGCTGGGATTGCAGCCTAGCAGGCAGCCTGGCCCCCCCCCCCCCCCCCATCTGTTAGGAGGTAGAGGCTGTGGTGGGAAACAAGGACCTGCACTGAACTTGGTGGCCTCTCTAACCTGCTTCATCCTCAGGCACAGCCATAATCCAAGTCCTAGGGAGGCAGATGCCTAGGGCTCACTGGCCATCCAGCCTAGGCTAATCAGGGAGCAGCTTGTCTCAAAGAAAAACAAAGCGGCCCGAGGAATGACAGACACCCAAGGCTCACCTCCGGCCTCCACAGGCCCCAGACTATCGAAGGGCTGGGCCCTGTTTAGCGGTGAAGCACTTGGGTAGCATTCAGGAGGCGTCAGATTCAGGCCCCAGCACCTCCACACCAACCATGAAGATCAAGCATATAGCCGGTACCTGCACTGACACAGTCGCCCGCTGTGAGCAGGGCCTAGTTTGACGCCCACAGCCTAGACAGGAAGCAGGCTCCACATACACGGAAGCAGTTTTCTAAGCTCACAGCACACCACAGGAAAGCATACAAAGTAAGCAACGAGCTTTTATTGATGTGAAATTCACATTGCAAAAAAACCCTTCAATATAGTACTTAATATTCCGCATCGTGTACAATCATCTCTTTCTGGCTCCAAGACACTCAATTCCGCACAGCTCCCTGTACTCAGAGTCTGGCAAGCATCAATCTGCTCTTTTTTTGTGAATTCACCCATCCTGGGTGTGTTACAAGGTGGGATCAAATGTGTCCTTTGCGTCTGGCTCATGACAAAACTCATCAATTAGTTTTGAACATTCCTTTGTGTGCACGGCGTATTTACACACTCACTCTTGAACCTCTAGTGTCTTTCTATTTGGCTCTTCTGAAGTGCTGAGGTCAGGCTTAGTGGCAGAGTGCTTGCCTAGACTGCATAAGGCGATCCTCAGCTCTCAAAAGACATGGACACTGACCAAGTGCTTGCTTCTCATTTTTGAGTCTCTTATAGTTTGGACTGGCCTCCAGTTTGCTATGTAGCCAAAACTAACCTTGAACTTCTGATCCCAAGTGCCCCCC